CATGTACATGCAGGAGGGCCTGGACGTCTGTCTGCAGGTGTTCTGAGAGTGTTCTGGATGGACACAGTGGTCCTCACATCATGCACATCATGAAAGGTGGCTTCATCAGAAAGTGAAGATCATCAAAGTATTCAGTTCCAAAGTGTACACGACAATGGCCCCATAATAAAACAGTTCAAACGGTGGATCAGTAACGAAGGCTGGGCTCCGCCCCCCATGACCCTGGTGAGGATTAAGGTGTAGAGATGATGGATGGATGGATTTTTAAACTGGACACAGATTCTCTAGAATAATGAAAGAGGAAGCCCCACCCTGCAGCTGGTTCCTGTAGATTTATTAACATATGAAACCCAGACAGTGAAAACATGTTTAGAGACTTTCACCACGACGCCACAGTTTCTTAACAATGATGACGTCTGCTTATTTCACTCATGATGTGCGTATTAAAAAAAAAAACACCACGTGGACGTGTTTTCACCAGAGACGGTCTTTTCTGGCATTTGTTGTTGTTTTGTTTGAACTTTCTGTTTGTTTGTTTGGCCCACAGTTGTCTTAAGCATGACTTTATTGTTGCAACCATGACAACAAAGCTCCCGTACTGTCACAGAGGAGTCTGATCTTCAGTAAACATGAACATGAAGTCAGTTTTATGCATAAAACTGTCTGACCTTAACTATGGTGAAGGCTGACTTTAAAAATAATAATCATAAGATCAGCCTTTATTTATCTCATAGTGTAGAAATCCACATTGTTGTCAGCAGCACACACACAGATACACACATACCAGACAGAACAATGTAAGAAATAGAGCAGACATATATAAAAATATACATGAATAATAATAATCAGACATTTTTAACCAAAGCCTTGTAAAACCTTGACATGAATCTCTTTTTGTCATTAGATGTGAATACTGCAGCACATCATTACATACTGTATTTAATATGTATATACAGGAAACAAATCAACAAACACTTTCAGATTTTTACGTTTATTTTTGTCACTAATGTCTGAACTTTCTGCGTTTGTTGAACTTGGACAGCTGTGTCTGCTGGAGGATCATTTTCCAAAATATCAGGAGTCGTTGTTCAGGAGACGAAAACAGAGTGTGTGACATGTTTGAGCGTTAAGAAGCACAAATGAGTTTTTGTTGTACTTGACATTTGCAACCTTATTACAAAAGTCATTTTTAATGACTGTGAATGTGTACAAGTTCCACCAACTCCACAAAAACTCCTTTTATAATGGATCTTTGTTGAGCCGCTGTGCCTCGTCAGGAGCATCATTACATGCTCTTAGACGTGCTTCACTGCAGAGGTTTCGGTGGACAGTTCAGGTGACCGCTGGGTTCAGGTCTTGTGTTTCATGGCTAACAGGGAATTTACCGCTGGGTTAGATTGCACTGTTCTGCACTCGGGCAGCTGTGAGACGATACGTTCCACGCCTGTCTCGGGACACACTCGCAGTCCGCGGCCTCTGTCGGGAAGCGAAGCCTTTGGTATGAGTTCCTCGATCCTTTAAAACTTCTGAGGTCTTGTTATGGTGCTACCGGCCGGGTGGAAGAGAAACGAATGGGAGAGGAAGAGATTGGAGTGAAGGATGAGTGTAGAGAATAATTCCCATGAATGTTCTGTTTTTCCACGAGGCCGTTTTGTGTGTTCAACTGGTTGTGTGTGTGTGTGTGTGTGTGTGTGTGTGTGTGGCTCTGATCCTCCTCACTGAGTCTATTATAGTGTGGGTGTGTGGGTGTGTGTGCGAACACCTACGCACATATGTGTGTTTGTGCAGGGTGTGAAAGCGGCGGCTGTGTCGGGTTGCAGAAGGAGATCCATTACGTCACCATGGCAGCCGGCCTTAATTACAGCTAACTATAGACGGAGCAGAGGGAGCAGAGCGGAGAGGAAGAGAGACGGAGCAATGAGTGTAATTAAAAAGTCTATTTGAAAGCATGAGATTATTACATCGATGAGTTTTGTGTAATGGCTCGTACAATCCTCTAATTCCTGCGTCTCGTTTTACGCACGCAAACAGCGAGCGCCACACGGCCTCAGGTTTGTGCGCCTCCGCTGAATAAACCGTCGAAGTGTCACGTCGGCCTCGTTAAAGGTGAAGCCGCCTAAAATGATCTCCGCGGTGGTGATCAGGCGGAATAAAGTGTGTGTTTGTTGTCGTTTTGCGTTGTCGCGTGTGAACAATCGTCCGTGGGCTCGTTTATGTGCCGCTGTGGCAGCATCTGGAGCAGCTGGATGAGATGTAACTACAGAGTACAGAGCAGCCAATCAGCACTTTAGTTCCTTGATTAATTTAAAAGAAGGCCAAACACTGTTTTCCAAAACTTAAGGTGTCATTTGAAATTGTTCATTTTGTCTGACGGATGGCCTGATAGTAAATCTAAATGTCCAGTTAGGTTTATTTTATTTATTTGTTCTCTCTGATGTTGTGGTTCTGATTGTTTTGTCTGGCCAATCAGTAGCGAGCGGTCCATCTGTCTTGTGGGGCTGGAGATCACATTGGTCGACTGAAATCATACCAACTTAATAACTAAATGTGCACATTATTTCCAGATGAACTCAGCGGCCCTCAGTGCACTGACTGGCCTTTATTCACCAGCATTAGCAACTAAATTAATATAAATCAACATATAAACGTATTATTTTGTACTGAATTGAACCCTATTCAGGACTTTCACGTTGCCATTTGTAGAAGGTCTTTCAGGCTCCATCGGACTATGGAATCATATTTGTGCCACAATCAGGAGCAAATGAAAATCTATTCTGCCTGAGCTACTTAAACATGGCTGAAGAAATAGTCTTTGTTATAAATAATACAATAATAATAACAATTAATAATAATAAATAGTCACCAAAAACGTATTGTAACATGACGTTAATCGCACCGCTCCACTTTATTTTGTTGTCACTTTCTACAGCGCTTCTGAGACGCGGCCGAAACAGCCACCTGATTGGATAGCGTCTGCCACCCTGTGCAAGGCTGTGATTGGCTGGTTTTGTGGCACATTCGTAACTCTGAACGAAGGCAGAGTTGAGTGTGAGCAGATCATCAGTGTTGTGCACGAGCGAGAGAGACGCCGTGAGTGTGAACGTGTAGCTGAGCGCACAGAATGGAGACGTGTGAGAGCGTAAAGGACAAAACCGAGTGACAGACGGCGTGATGGTGCGTCCATGTTGATAGCTGCAAACACAGCAGAGATAGTTTTGAGCGCAGAGTAGATTTTTGTTTGCTCAGGATTGTGGCACAAATGTAATTCCATATTGGACCCCAAGAAAGAAGATGTGCAAAATATTTGTTGGTATTCGTTACAGACTTTTATACTGTGGTAGATACATTTTCTGGTAAGTTGACATGTTTTTGGTTCCAAATGCACGACCAATGTCCCTCATCTTATTTAAAAAAAAAATTAAAATTAAAAAACCATACCTGTCACCTGAACCAAACAGCCTGAGTCAGGTTAAAGCAGACCAGTGTGCACGTGCCTATATTCATATGATTACTGAACTGTTGATGGATATAACCATAGATATGTATAATAAAGGCCAGATGTCTCATCCGAGCTGTCGGCCAATGGAGCGGCACGTCCGTACTGGCGGCCATCTTGCCACAGTCAGCTCGCTCACCCATATCATTGTGTTGTTGTGGTGCATGGACTTTTTAAACAACCATAACTTGCTCAATTTTCTACTGATTTTCAGACGGTTTGGTTTGTTATAAACGTCAGAGGCGTAGTTATAACGCTGCACTGATGGATAATTATGGAACACTTTTGGTCAGAAGTTTGGGATTATTATGATATATATTAAATATTATTATATATCATCATAGTTTGAATTGAAAGAAACCAAACTGTTTGTAAATCCATCAAGACTTCAGCGAGATCAGAGTATTTATGTTTGTGCAGATCACTCACCGTCCTTCACGTACCACAGGTTCTGCCAGAGAGCTGCCCCGAATCAATATGGCCGCCGGTGATCCCGTTCGAAACGCCGCCTTCAGACATCCAGCCTTTACTGTACATATCTATGGATGTAGCAGTGACGAGCTCGCTGCTGTTTTTAGATGATCTTTTTGTTGACGGTTGCTCTTTGTCGTGGTGTTGATTAGTCTGGAGCTGATTTTGAGGGAACATTTAGTGAATGTTGAGTGATTCAGACCTCGTCGTCTCCATCAGGTCTGAATGAAAACAGATGCGTGCTCACCACTGCTCTGTCCTCCCACCGCCACAAGTCATGATTCATGCTGCACGGCTGTTGATGTTGTCTTTCTGAAAGTTACAGCAGCAGTTGACAGATGAAGCAGATGAGAGCGTATCAGCTGCTTCACATCATGTTTACAGCGCCGGGTGTGTTTGTAAAAAGGCGACGACACTTGACCCAAATAAACAGAATCACAGGCGTGAATCCACCTTCGACCAGCAGCACTGATCATGTGTAAAGTCTGACTTGGTGTTGTCCACCTCGTGATCGTGAAGAATGAATGGAATTTAAAAGCGACATAACATCTGAGGTCATGTTATTTCTTTAACTGGTGCCACTGCAGCCTTTTCTCCTCCACGGTGAGCACGGCTGCCTTTCAGACTCGTATCCGTGAACGCTCGTCTCTAACTTTGGTGCGACCTCGCACACACCTGACCATGAAGCTCACACGTTGTCAGCGGTGACATTTCGCTCTTTTTGTTTGTCTTTCCTAATTAGCAGTCTCTTCCGCTCGCCTGGCGCAGCGTCGGCCAATCGGCGGAGCCCGCTCATTACCCAGGGTTTATTTCAGGGTCTTTGTCAAATGAAGAGTGAAAGTGACAGCTCAATCTAACCTCGGCAACGAGCCTCGCATGGCCGCCTCCTCGCCGCTGCTGCTGCTGCTGCAGGATTCAACTCGGCCATCATGTGGGGGCACGCCGGATGGTGCTCTGAAGCTAATTGAAATGCCACCTTGTTCTTTCTTTTCATGGAGTCTCTTTCTTCGTGTCCCTCTTTTCTCTCTCTTAGTTCTGGATGTCTGCCCTGGCCACCACCATCCCCGTGCCCTGCGGAGCCTTCATGCCAGTATTTGTCATTGGTAAGAAGCAAATAGCTGTGTGTGTGTGAGTATGTGTGTGTGTGTGTGTGTGTGTGTGTGTGTGTGTGTGTCTCTGGGAAAGAAAAGTGTTCTTTAGGAACATTCGTGCAGCGTTTGCAGGATTAAAAAAACGTTCCTCATTCCGAGATTGAAGAGTTCAGGCATTCGTTAGTCCCAGTGGGGGATTAAATTGGTTTCCTAATACTTGAACAAAGTCTTCCAAAAATAAAACAACAACTAGTATTAATTCAATAATAACTTTTAGGACTGTGCCATTGTTCTGGCCTTCCCCAGCCAGGCCTACTGAAGCTGACGTACTAGTAATCTGAGAATATGAGTCTCGGTGCTGCCGATGCACCTGCCTCCTCCAGAGGACGTCCCGTACAGCTGCCCGTGTCGTCATGTTGTCCTGCCGAAGCAAAACAGGCAGATTCAGTAATTATCCCCAAACCTTTAGCTAGCAGTTAAAGGAGGGGAAGGAAAGCACAGACACGAGGGTTCTTCTTGGCTCAGCATGAGCCTTTGAGGGCTACGAAGCACCATCTGTCAGCAGACAGGAGCAGCAATGGGTCTGTTTTATCTTGTTTGACAGAAATCTATGTGTTGTCCTCTTATGTCAGACCATTTTCTGATACCTAACTGGTAGTGAGACCACTCCACATTTGGACTAACGTTAGTGAGCTACTCTGTGCAGTGAGGCAGGAGTCAAACATTAAACCTGAAGGATTATTGCATGACAGCCTTCTTTAAAGGTGAACTGAGTGAAATCATAGACGGTAGGTAGACAGTGGATCTAACAATCATAAGGTCTCCCACTGGTTCGTCAGCTGAAAGGCAACCTGTTAATCACAACGAAGCCCCGCTCTAAAACCCACCCGGCTTTATCTCCTAGTTTACTCTAATTTACTAAATTGCTGTAATTAGCTAGACCTGAAACTAGCCGTTGACATTTTCCAACTGAGACCATAAACTCAGGAGGAAAATGTTTGCTTGAGGTAATAAATCAAGTGAGAAACACGACCATCTCCTCACAGACTTCTATACGATTGGACTTTTGGAGGAGTCGCCCCCTGCTGTTCGCTTAAAAGAATGCAGCTTTAAGCAGATTCTCGGTTGGCTTCACTCGTCAGAGCCAGAGACTGTTTTTTGTGTACATTCAATGTGTGAAGCCTTCTACAAGCCTTCATATCTACCTGCTGGAGCTGTAGTTGTCTCCATGACCACCAGCACACCTTTCAGAGGGCCCACATTCAGTGATTGAGACTAGAATGAAACCAATACGGTGTTTCTAGAGAGAAGCTGATGCTTTTTGAGTGGGAGTCAGTTAAACCGAGGCCTTCCCTAGAGGCTGTCAGTGGTACTGCACTTTAAGGTGCTTCTGAAGCTAAAGCCGCTGCAGTTTTTAAAACGTGATGCTTGAATATTGGACAAACACGTGTGTGCAGCTCGTTGCATGAAAGAGACCAACAGTGGAATGATTCTTCTGGCTCTCTTTAGTGGTGTCCAACTGGACCCGGCTAATGAAAAGCCCAGTATTGATTGTGAGTTTCTGTTTCTTTGTGTGTGTGTTTGTGTGCATTTCAGGGGCAGCCTTTGGTCGTCTGGTTGGAGAGAGCATGGCAGCTTGGTTCCCAGATGGCATTCACACAGATGGTACCATCTACCCCATAGTGCCTGGAGGCTACGCTGTCGTGGGTAAGACACATTCCTGCTCCCTGTCGCTCTGCTTTGTAGTGTTCGCTGCTCTTAACCGCTCTCCTGAGCATAATATCCTCTAATGTGCCTTATTGCTACAAAAAAAAGATGTTTTGGCACCTGCACAACCCTGCGTCTAAACGATTCAGGTTTTACAATCAGAGGCCATAAGCAGATTCGTTTTGGTGGGATTTTGCTCCTCATCACTAATAGAAAGAGAATCAAGCTAAATATGTCCTACAGTCCAGTGCCTCCATTTACAGCTTCAAGTTAAGCCTCTAAATGGACCCTGATCAAACCAGACACTGGATATGATCAGACTCAAACGCTGGAGACAGAGTCGGATTGCAGCTACAAGATCTCCAGGATAAACTTCACAAAGAAAACGCCGGCGAAGCAGCTCCGACGCCGGCCGACAAAACAAACAAACCGTCGCAGCTCGTAGTGCAGCTGCCACAGGGCTTATATCCCACAAGGTAGCGTGGACTTCAAACACGATTGTGTAATCACAACTCTGGCTGAGAAATGGACGTTGCTTTGTGGAGCTAAACCAAGTGACACAGGCTGGATAATATACACGGATAAATAATTTAAACCTATAGGAAAAGAATATATAAATGATGTATCACTCTCAACTCATTTCACTTTCCAATCTTTCCTCCGTTCTGCTCCGTTTTACATTCATCCTTTATGTATTTTCAATTTGTCCATGCATTTCCTTTTCTCTGTATCTCCCGTCAGATATTGTGGACGGCTCGTCGTCTCTGCTCAGTCTGACAGATCTCCAAAATCTCCAGATCTGTTTTTTTTTTTTCTTAAACATAGAGTTCATTCCTGGTGTCACACTGCCCAGATAAGTCCGCTGCTCTACGAGTTTCTTCCACTGTTAAATCTTTAAAGTTCTGAAAAGGATTCATTCTTTACAAGAAAGCAACTGCAGGAAATTGATTCTCAGTAAAGCACTGATGAATAATTCTTCTTCCCCCCTTTGAATTTTGATTACTTTATCTTTCTGTATGTTTTTACTGTTCTATCGTTTCTAAAAGTTAAATTTAAACCCTCATTCCCATGCAGTTTGTACTCCTGTCACATGTTTCCTCACTGTGGGATCATTTCTCACCACAAGCTGTCACCAATACTGGAAAACATCTAAATGCTGTAGAAATCTTTATTCAATCCTCTATAAACTAGTCAACTCTGCTCATCAACTCTAGAAAGAGGCTTCACCGTGGTGGACGTATCTTCTCATGTTTTTGAGCTACGCTGCGTTTACTTCATTCATCAACTAGGTTTTATTTTCCTCCCAATCTCTCCAATTTGTTTTCATATTTTCCCAACTCTCCAAACACTCTGTGTACAAATATTCACTGTATTTTTTTTGTCTTGTGACTGTCGGTCACAACTGAGTCAGGATCTGGTGCAAGCTGTTGATTTTTGGCACATTTTTGCTTGTTAACCGAGACACAGAATAAAGGGATTGTAATGAAATATCAAGATTTTAGGTCTGTATTTGGGTAGTTTCTCCAATGAAGTGGTTCGTCACACATGAGTTAAAGGACCATGTAAAAGTTTGTGGTTCTGATAAATGATTTTGGCTGTTTTTTAGAACATAACATGCCTTTCAAAGCCGCCAGCCGCTGCACATACAAACATATCCGGTCCTCCAGAAATGCGGCGGTGCTGCAGGGCCACTTGTTGACAGCCGAGCCGATTGTGCCGCGGCTGCAGATTGGCGGCGGCTGTTTTTCTGGGCCTGCTGATGTTGTTGTTGTGCTGCACTGTAGCCGGTGACTCAGCCCTTTACAGGCCTGACACTCTGATGAGCCTCTTTCATCTCTTCGCTTTAAGGACTCAGCGTTGGGATGGGCAGAGAGAGCAGCAGCATTTATCTGAGGGGGGATAGGCAGACATACACGGGCTTTAATTAAGTTACGAGAAAGAACAATAAAACCTGCCTTTAGACTCTCTCACCCACCATCTGTTTCTCCCTTCTCTTTTTATTTTAATGCTTTCATTCTCTACTGTTGTTTTTTTTCCTCCCAGTGTTCATCTCATTCCTTGAATTGGACTCATCCATTGTCTCTGTTCGTCTGAAGGCTCACTTCGCCCCATGCTGCTCTGTCTGCTTTGATGCTGCTTTTATATTGCGATTTTCATGACATTTTATTGGGGAGGAAAAAAAAGGTTTGGAAATATTGAGGTTCCCGTTTGGATTGAATTAGCTGAATAAGTCGATTTTTGCCTTATGGGCATCGGAGAGGAGACTGTGTGGAGAAGAATGTGAATCTAGTTTTCTGAAGGAGTCGAGTGTCGGTCTGGTCAAGGAAACCGATGGCAGGACGGTGACTCAGACTCTCTGAGTACGTTAGATCCCTGAGCTCGAGTATGTGTTGTATATACAGCATATTGTATTTGTGATCTGTGGCACTGAACAGCATGTGACTAATGCTGATACCCGCTACTCTGAGCATCATGTTGGTCGTAGTACAGCTGAAAAATATGAATCAGAATCATTTAATGTTGTTATACCAAAAGTGCAAAGAACAACTATAAATTAACAAACCGTGCAAGATAAAAGCAAGACGTGTGTAGAGCCTAGAGATGTATATGAAAGAATAAATAAGTGACAATAGGTATGAAATGATTATAGAAATGTGGGTATTTAGAAGAAGCGAGGAACGGAGTGGACACCGACAGGGTTGGAAAATGATAAAGATGCTTTTGTTATCATGTGAGATTTAATGACGCAGCCCAGTGTCAGTGGTCTACCTCTGAGATATAAGAGTCACAAAGTCACATGTTCCACAACCACGGTGAGAAGCAGTCCACGTCAAGTCACAGCATGGTGGCACACTGAGGAACGGTGAGGCTCCAGGAAGCAGCTGTGAACTGCTGCTAAACACAAAGCAAAGCGAACCAGATGTACATTCGCTAATACATCTATTTTACCATAATTTACTAAATAATTATCATGCTGTGTTAAAGGAGACTTGAAACTAGCAGTTGACCATAAACATGTTAGGAAAACATTGACTAAGGGAACAGATTAAGTTTGTAAAAGGTTCCTTTTCTTATAGACGTCTATACAATCAGACTTTGAGGTTTTAAAGCGTTTCCATGTTTGCTTCACGTTTCAGACCAGGAGGCTCCATCGTTTACATGCAGTCTGTGGTTCTCACCAGTACTCAGGTACCAGCTGGTGCTCGCCTCCCTGCAGCCTCAGGGGGCAGTAACGCAGCCACTGTGGTTCAGCCACAATGGATAGAAAGGAGATGCATGATCAGGTTTATTGTGGGGCTGCAAGGTGGCTCAGTGGTTAGCACCGTGGCCTCTCAGCTAGAAGGTCGCCGGTTCACGTCCCGGTGAGGACACCCGGGATCTTTCTGCGTGGAGTCTCCATGTTCTCCCCGTGCAGCGTGGGTTCTCTCCGGGTTCTCCGGGTTCCTCCCACAGTCCAGAAACATGCTGAGGTTAATTGGTGATTGTAAATTGTCCGTAGGTGTGAATGTGAGTGTGCTTGGTTGTCTGTCTCTAAGTGTAGCCCTGTGATAGACTGGTTACCTGTCCAGGTGAACCTGCCTTCACCCTGAGTCAGCTGGGATAGGCTCCGCCCCCCATGACCCTGGTGAGGATGAAGCGTTGTATGGATGGATGGAGGTTTATTGTGGGATTTCTCAAACACAGTGATTGAGACAGTTTGGACTGAAGTCAGAAGGATCTTGCTCCGCCCTTTCTTCTTTTTATGGATGCAGCTGTCCGATAAATGAAGTGGGTTAAAGCAAATGTTTCCAGAAATAACCTGTTTTGGTGCCAAGTGATCAATATCAACAACCAGTCAAGTTTCTGTTGGTGTTGAACAGCCGTCCTCTTTGTTGAATGCTAGGCAGCAGGAAAAATGTCTTTTCTTGCTCTTTGCAGTCGTGCTAGAATTGAATTGTTTCTCATTTTGATGGATGATGCCCTTGGATCCCCTCCTCAACCCCCCAAGACCCCTTCTGGAAGTCCCACCTTGAAAACCACTGATGTGAACAATTGCTTCACAACCCTGTGCCTCTGTTCTGTAGCTCACCTGACTGTCCTCTCTCCACCCAAAGGTGCTGCAGCCTTGTCGGGAGCGGTCACCCACACGGTTTCCACTGCGGTCATCGTGTTCGAGCTGACTGGCCAGATCTCCCACATCCTGCCGGTGATGATAGCGGTGATCCTGGCCAACGCCGTGGCCCAGTCCCTGCAGCCGTCCCTCTACGACTCCATCATCAGGATCAAGAAGCTGCCCTACCTCCCCGAGCTGGGCTGGGGTCACCACGAGTACGTAGCATTACGCATATTAGATGTTTCAGCAGCAAGTGGTGAGAAATGGCAAACAGGAAGGATGCTTTCTATTAAACTAACCTCTATGAAGAACTCCAACAAGAAGGACAGATGTAGGCATTACAAGCAACGCATTTTTCCCAAGAAATCATGTTTAAACCCTTGAAAAAATGACAGGAACGCACGAGTCAGGATGTTTTCTTTGTGCTTCAGCCCTCTGAGGCTGTAAGGCTCATTATACAGCTCACATTAAACCGCTGCAGATGAGAGTTTCTTAGTATTAAATCCACAAAGTAATATTTCTGCATCAAAATGTTAGCAGATCCGACAAAACTGTGTGTCAGCCACAGAAATATTTGATATTTTGGGAAATACACTTATTCACTTTGTTGATGAGACGACCAATTATGCTTTCATCTCTACACGGTGAATCAAAGCCAGCAGTCCATTAGCTCAGCTTTGCACAAAGTGGGATTAAACAAACAAAGTGAAAGTAGTTGAGCTTTAGAATGAGCAGCAAAAAGCTGGTTTTGTTCCCTCGATACAGCGTCTGACCAGCTGCACCTCAGTCGAGCCAGCAGTAGAAAGCGTTTTTGTGAAGCAGCATGCCAACATTTAGCGTTTAACTTATTAGCATGATAATGACATGTTGCTGGGGCACAGCTTTTTGCATGTTAGTTTAGATGGACACCACCATCATCAGATCAGTAGCAGGGCTATGGCCCAATGGGAGCACAGCTACTACTGTATGTTTGTCTGTTTGTTTTTCCTTTTCCCAGTAATGAGTAAATACAACTTTATATTTGATGCAGCGGACTGAATTTGTTCAGGTAGAGTTTCTCATGTTCTCATGTTTCTCACACTCTGAGCCGAGGCTGCACTGACTGCATCTTGCATGGGCTGAGACTCCACGTTGACACCTTATGTACTCTGTCCTCTATGATACATGAAGCAGATGCATTTAGTATAATATTGACTGTTTATCGCATGGAGTTTAGAAAATAGTAAAGATCGATGACAGAACTGACAGAACGGTGGAACTGAGAGAAAAATGTCTGACTCTAAATGTGTTTGCTACTTCAGCACCACGGACAGCGCCGTGGATTTATGAGTGCACAGCACATTTAGCCCGGCGGTGCTTCAGAGCCGGGCTCGGGGCCGTAGATTTCACCTTGGACACACCGTAGTCAGAAGATCAATGAGCCAGGCAGACCATACTAACATATTCCTCTAAACTACCGCTCTGCTCCTGCTCTGCCTCTACTGCTCAGAGACGGAGGGGGAAGATCAGGTTAATAAGGGGGATGGCATCCTCCCTCCTCACCCCTTAAGTTGCCGACTGGGTATATACATAATTCCTGCTTGTTTACAAAACCAACCTGGGCATATTAGTGTAGAGGTGTCCTAGAGTAAACTGAACTGAAACTGTGACGTTATGGGGTGCTAGACGAGCAGTAGTCATGAGCAGAAGCATGAATGTTGTGCACAGTCACTCTTTTAAATATTGTTTCCTCTTTTTTTTTTTGCATGTTTTCCTCATTAGATAGTGCAGCAATGATAGAACAGAATGGAATACTTTTATATTGATCCCCCATTGGGGGAAATGTACACACCACAGCAGCATGCCAAAATATAGAAAGTACAAGAAAATAACAATAATTCAGTCATATGCATCCCGGTGTCGGCACACAGCAGGTCCAAGGCCCACCGTCTCCGGTTGGGCCGTCCACATCCCGGCTGAATGTGGGGAAAGTGGTAGAGAGCCATGTCTGGTTAAAGTCTCCTGAGACGACGACCAGAGACTGAGGCTGTGATGTTTGCAGCTGGGACACTGAGCTATGGATGAGCTCACAGGCTGCAGCAGCATCAGCCGAGGGGGGGATGGAAACTGTAATCACCAGGACGCGCTAAAACTCCCTCGGCAGGTAGAACGGCCGCAAACCAACCGCCAGCAGGTCAACATCCTTCGTGCGGCGCCGCTCTTTAACGCTGACGTGGCAGCATTACACCATCACACCATGACATCAGGAGCTGTGAGAAAAGAGAGCAGGGGGACGACAAGCAGGACAGGGTTTACCAAAGTTCTTCGATCCTGATCTATTCAGTAATTATTAAGTATCTGCCGATACTGGGTCCCAACTGTATAATTTTATGAGATAATATGAACTTAATGTACACTTCAGTCATTAAAACCAGCCCAGTGGATATGCTTGAATAGCTGAATAGCTCTGTAATGCATTAAGGAGAAACAAATCCACCTTGTCTCCTAATGTTCCACAGGTTTTGATCCAGTAGAGCGACATCAACACAAGATTTATGCTCAGTTAATTGATTATTGATGTATAACGCTGGAAATTACTGGTTTAAGAGAGTATTCAAAGGTTGCACCCCTAGCATTAAACAACCCCTGTCATATGCTGGGGGTTAAGATGTTAACATAACTACAGCTTAGCTTAGCTTAGCATTGCTAAGAGGTAAGAAATGGATGAATATTGAGTTTATGAGTCAGTGTAGCGACTGTGCTGCAGTCCAATCGGTTTTATTGACTATTTAAAGCCTTCGTTTGCTCTGCAGGTATTACGTTGCTTTAGTCACATCAGGGCTCAGATCCTGTGTGTGTGCATCTTAATCAGTCTTAATCTTTTTTGTTGACGGGTGCTTTAAAAGTGACTGCATGTTGGTTTGAAGTATTGCTTTCAATTTAGATATCTGAGCACCACGCGGCACACCTACGTAGATTAACATTTGCTTTACAAAAAGACAAATGAAGGTGGAGGCGCGTGGCTCAGTAGTAATATGGCTTTTAATTGCCTTCACGCTCATTAATAATTTATACTAACCACACAATAGTGAATGGGATTACCAGCTGCTTGGTGTCCTCAGAGCTCCGTGGATCCATACAGCAGCACTTCTCATTTCATTGTTTGGAACCGATTATTGTTGTGGACGCTGGCAAATCATCGGGTGGAGATAATAGTCGGGATGCATCGTTCACAAACTGGGAATAATAAGGAAAAAATTTTATTTCGTTCTCTGTCTGTTCGTGGTTTTCTGTGGCGATCCCCTGAAGTCTGCGTGGATCCTTCACGTCAGCGCCCCGGTTGACCCGCGGAGTCCATCTCTTCGTTATCTAATCCTCTCTCGCTTAATCTCTGCTGCTCTCTTCTCCTCTGTCTCTTCCTATTATCTGCTGTGACATGATGGCCTCCTGTCCTGTGAGTGTGTGGATTGTGTGTAGTGGGAGCTGTGTGTCAGTGGGCTGCTCGTTTTCTTTTTGCTGATTAAATAACGTAGCAACACACAGACACATGCGCAGGACCGTCCACACTACAACGGTTACTGATGTGCACACACCTTCTTTACAGGAGAATTATTGTTGTTTCTTACAACTAGGACGTGAACAACCAGTTGCAGCAGCTGTGATATCATTATCATAGATCTGAGGATCCAGCAGCATCACTGAACACACCAGAGGTCAGCGCTCGTGTGCTGTTCACTGAAGCTAAGTCCTTTATCGTTACCCGCTGAGAGCTGGACACGCTGATAACCCGCCTCCGAACGATGCAGCAGCTCCGAACGAGAGGTTTCCAAATTAGCAGGAGGCTCTTCTGTTCTGTTGATGCTTCGGTGTGACACTTCTTCTTTTATTACCTTATTAAACCTTCATGGTTCCTACGGTACGCAGATATGATCAGGAGAACAACTACCACCAATTTAGCCTTCTAGTCCACCCACTGATGCTGTCTTTCCAACAAGTAGTTCTGAACAGGCGAAACCCAACAAATAGTTTGATTTGAAAACAGCTTCCCTCTGAAATCTGCATTTCTTCAGAGCTGACCAATTTGGGGAAAATATGTAATTGTGATTTTTATAACAGACACTGCAGCATGATTTGCAATACAGCTTTAAAAAGTCAAACTTTACTTCATTATTCCCTTTATAGCAGATTTAAAACATGTGAACGAGCATTGCCACATGAGGTACGATGAAAGGCGTGACTCTTACACAAGGAGGACATGAGAACTAGTAAAACCACTGACAGTTTAAACGCCGGCTCACGTATCAGGTTCGGCTGTTAAGTCACATGAATGAGCTTCTCTTAGACGAACCACAACCTGCTGCCTGAACCATGTCGTGATCAATAGGCAGCATAAACAACCCTGCAAAGTTTCACTCTGCTCAGATTACCTCAGACTGATTTACAGCATCAGTCTGATCGTTTAGTGGCCACATCTCCTTTATCCTAAACTGCAGCCGTTTGCAAATTGCATTGTTTCAAATTGCAGTTCTGATTTAAAATTGATTAATCGTTCAACCCAAGCGTTTACCATTCAGCCTGTATTTATTTTGTGTTTTATTTCTTTATTGTGACTTTCCTTTGGCTGCCGCACACCCCTATGAACAGCCCCAGTCTGCAGTGGATGACAGAAAAATCTCAGGGAAGCGTCTCGGCGCTGCTCTGAAACACCAGTTAGAAAGTTATCCAGACGTGCATCTGCAAAAACAACTAGCGAATCTAATTAAATCTTGTAAATATTCTAAAAACTAGGGATGTAAATTATCATCAGCTTCCTTTACTGATAGTCGGCTACGTTAAAAAGCAGCTGAAGGGACTGTAAGAGGGAGGATGTTTAAACTACTGATAGTTAATGCTCACCGTAAGATCGGCTCGGTCACATGAGGAATTAAACATCAGGTTAACGAATAATTATTAGCAAAAAACACAAGACTTCATTTTAAATTTAACAATTGCTTCTGAACGTTAGTGGGACGCACATCATGGAAGCAAACGTGGAAGCTCGAAAATGTCTTTTAGCTCAAAGGCCAGACCGTTCCACATCTGAAAACACACATTTACAAGCAACACACTGGCCTACTGTACTTAGCACAATAAGGGATCAGGGGTTTACCTCCAAAGAACGTCGATGAGGTAATCTTGTCTCAACTGCATCACCTGAATTAGTCCTGCACAGAAGATGCCAATGTTTACAAAAATGACTCCAGTGCTATTATCATATAAATACTGTATGATGGTCAGAACAACTAAAATATGATCCAGGTGTTGCTAAACCACATTTTTCTTTATCTCATATGGATGCAGTTATAACGGCATGAGGTGGAGACGTCATTAATCACAATACAATATAGTCATTTAGTTTAATGATAGGCAGAACATTTAAAGTGGTAAAAGTTGTGTGAATTGTTAAGAAAGAGTCAGAAAGCTTGTGTGTGTGTGTGTGTGTGTGTGTGTGTGTGTGTGTTTGAGAGTGTGTGAAAGTGAAAATAAACGATGACACGATCGTCTATCAGCAAAAATGTTAAATGATCTCAACACAATGACACGTTTCAAGATGCTGAAAGTTGCAGGAGCATAAAGATGATTGAGAAACTGTCAGGAATCCCCTCAGTACCTGTGTGTGTGTGTGTGTTAGTGTAAAAACACTTAACACACACACACACACAACCACTCGCTGCCTTCAATAAGACGCAGGCCACACCAACAACTTGAGCCCTTGCACAGATAGATCCTACATTACTCAATCCATCATTCACTTTTTATTTTTTTAACCTCTTTCTCCCTCTTACCTCACCTTCACCCCTGTGTGTGTGTGTGTGTGTGTGTGTGTGTGTGTGTGTGTGTGTGTTGTACGACTGCAGCATCCCAGACTGGTGGAGGAGGCAGCTTGGGGTGGAGGGGGTGTGGATGAGACACTGTAGGTAGCGTAGCCCCCTCCAAGCTCAATGTGTTTTTCACTCTAACTGGAAATTATCCATCTCACACCTACGCAACCGTCCACCCACCCACACACACACACACACACACACACACACACACACACACACACGCAGGAACGCTTGTGTAACGCCTGCAGTGCAACACACGCATATGATGCCGTGTACATTCGCTCATACGCCCACGCGGACATGAGGAGAATTGGATTTCTTATCTTTTATTTCAGCTTTTGCAGATATGAACACACACACACACACAGATCACACACTGTATGTTTTTCCGCCTCAGACGTGCTCCTCCTCCATAATCGTGCCCGGTAGCGCAAATAAAACTGTTTCCTTGTCTTGTTCTCTCTCTTTTCATTCAGTCCAGCCTCTTGTCTTCTTTCTTGACGGATCCATCTTCAGACTGGCATTTGAAAGGAAGTGTGGGAACAATTACGTAACATCCCTCTCTGTTTCGACTGTGTGTGTGTGTGTGTGTGTGTGCGCAAAGTCGTTTGTTTCTCTCTGTCACTTTGTGTTTCTTAACATTTCATAATAGCCAATTACATCCCGTTGAACGGTCCGCGGTCCGCCGTCGTCTCTGCTCCTCTGACAGGAAGCGAAGCCGCGGGAGATGATCGTATTTTCTCCAGAACATTACAACCGTCCTCTTTATTGGCTTCAACACCTCCCCCTCACATCCACACCCCCACAGTCACACACACATTAGCAGCCAGCGCCTCTCCGCTCCGCCCTGGACAATATGGACGATCTGTGAAACCTGGATTTATAACCCTATAAGTCTGTTTATCTTGGCTCACATCTATAAATCAGGGCTAAATGCAAGATAGCTGGAGCTGATCAGATGCGTTGCCCGGCCTTTGCAGGAGAGGAAGGTTCAATTAAGAGGAAACCAATCAGATTTCATCAACCGCCTTTGATATCTCCAGGGAAATTAGCCTTGGCAGCAGTTGTGGCCAGTTCAGAGGCTTGCGTTACATTATTCTCTCAGATCCGCTGACGGGTTTAAAGAGGTTGCCGGTGCACCATAGAGAAGAAGAAGCTTCCTTTAACGGTGGTATTTTATTTATTTTTTTTTTTTTTCAAAGGTTCCTTTTGCTCCTTTATTTTTTTTTTCCCAATAGAACCCATTGATGATTCAACCTCCATCCAGTTCATGACATCTGCTGCATTTGTTGGTGATGACAGGAGGTATTTAGTGGTGCAAGAAAGTATTCAGCGGTGGCCAAAATCTGATCTATTTTCTATTTGGGATTTGTCACAGTAAAAGAAAAAAAAAACTGGAGAGTGTGAATGTGCAAATGCTGCCATCATCTCTGAAACTATGAAGAACAGCAGCTGCGAAAGTTTTCTTCTTGTTCACCAGAAAATCCAGCAGAAAGATTCTGGTCATCTTGGCTCCGCTGACGGGTAACGTGAGAGATGAGCAGCTGGTTACGAGTAAGAACTAATTCAACCTGGGGACCATAGAGATTAATTAAAGGGTTCAACCTCCTGTTGAAGCCAACATCTACTGAGCCAACCACGGAGCAGGAGCTCAGTGCATTTCGGCATGTGGATGAAGCTGAGAGGATCTGCTGCAGTTTGAACAGGACACGGCTGTTAGAACCAGATTGTGTAGGTTATAAATCTACTGGGGTGGTCATGCACGACCATCTTAAGGATTCCCAGAGAACAGCTGGAGAAAGATAAAAGACAAACTGAGCAGCTCTTCTCTGGGCGTAGATGTTCTGTTGAGGCCTCGCTGGTTCGAGGTGACAGAAAGTGAGCAGTAGCTCAAACCGCCACTGGTTACACCCAACATGGAAGAAGAAGAGTGAAGCCGATGGGCAGCACAAGACCACAACGGTTCCTCAGCTATGACTAGAAAACTTCAGCCTGCAGTGTTCACATACTGTGAAGATCTGGAAAGCGTCGCTTGATCTGATGAGTCTCACTTTCTGCTGCAGCACTCAGAAGGCTGGGTCATCGTTTGACATGAACGGTGTGAAAGCGTGGATCCATCCTGTCTTGTAATGATGTGGGGAAAGTTTTCCCAGCAGTCATTTGAACACCACAGCCTTCCTGAGTCGGTGCTGACCACCTCCATCCCTGTATGACCACAGGCTCCTTTCAGCAGTACGACGCTCCATGTGGGTTGCTCGAACATAACCAGAAGTTCACTGTCCTCAGACGGCCTCCAGTCACCAGATCTCCTTTAGAATGATGAAGAGTCTCTATTATTAAGGTGTTGACCACAAATCTGCAGCATCTCCATGGTGTGGTCATGTCACTGTGGATTCAAAAGCTTTGAGGGGTGTTTCCAGCACCTTGTTGAATCTATGAAGAATCCAGGTGGTGCTAAAGGCAACCAAATACTATCGAGTTATAACTAAAGTAAAGACTGATCAGTGTAGAATCTTTCACTGGCTTTTAGTGCTCTTATGTCTCTTGGAGTTCTTCGCACTCTTTCACAGTTTGGGTAAATGGATTTCATCAGTAAGATCTCTTTTCAGCAGTAGTGTCCCTGTTGCTCCGAACCTTACCCACTGACCTCTCGACAAAGACTCTCCGTCGTGCTTCTGCCAAAAGTAGTTCTAGTGAAACAATGAAAGTAGTTCCACTTTCCAAAGCAATGAGCAGCACAAACAGGGTTCGGTTCACCTGCAGTGTGTACAGGTGGACGCATGTGTCTCCAAACCCAACAGGGTCTGTGCGGCCGGATGCAAAGTCGAGCAGAATTATGTTTGTGTTCAACAGGTTTGGAGCTACATAGCTTATGTCCAGTGTTAATGAAGGAGGTACTGTGTTCCTACTCAGGTAGAAGTAAAGTATGCTTCAAAGAAAGTGCACCAAACAACTGGTCCTGACATTATCCTCACTGGACACTTACTGTACCGGGCTCGTCTTTATGGCGCCTGGTTCTTCATCCAGACTTGGACGGGCCACCACTGGAATAGCCATACAGCACTTCTACCTTCAGATAGGGTCAGAATATGTCTGTTGTTTTAAGCATTCCCCAGCTTTTAGAGCGAGGAGCCTGTGGTAGGATAAGTCTGAATTACTCATCACTGTTTACATCAGTTAAATAGTTTGCTATGTTGTGAAAAGAATTCTGAAAACATTGGCACCGGATCAAGAAGATGCTGTCAATAATCTCTGACCTCTTTGTCCTGTCGAATCAGCTACATGATTAGTTCACAAAGTTGTTACAGTGGGGGGAGCTGACTCTTTATTGTGTTCACTACAGAAGACTGAACTCATTCTCTTGTTGTTTGTTTTGGCACCTAAAGAGAGTCTGTAGAGAATCTTTCTGCACTTCACTGCTGCCATTCATTTCCCTAAGAGGGCTCCGGGGCTAACTCTGTGCATTATACGTGTTAAAGTGGAGGTGGGGGGAGCGTGGTCATCCATTTAACTTTGTATTTCAAGCGAGGTCAGTGTATTGAGTTGTCACCACAAGAAGGAGTGGAAGGTTGGCCGGAGCCCGTGTCTTGGCACGGCCGCCGGACTTGGCAGCGGAAACCGTTGAGCGACTGCTGTTGTGTTTGCAGGTTTGGCAAGCTTGAGCAGGAAGAGAAATCCGAGTGTTTGTGACTGGTGTACTGGGGCGTACGATTCTGCTGAGGCAAGATCTGCTCACGCAATGTCACCCGCTTCCCCCCGCCGAACACACAGCCGCGCCGTCAGTGCGCTAACATCCGGATGACGTGTCAACAGTGGAAGGTGTTATTGGATTGACCGGTCAGCTGAAAGAAGGATGCGCTGTCAGTGTCATCTGTGAAGGGGAGCGCTTACAGACCTGTTACATGTTTATGAAAGCCGTGCCGGCCAAGCTGTAGCGGGCAGCTTGTCAAAAACAGCGACTGCCAGAACATTACAGCCGATGCAACGTTTTAAACGTCTACAAATTCAGACCATTCAGGGAAATGATATTTAATACTTTAATGGATCCATCTTTCTTCTCACCCTCATCTCCATGACCGCTTGATAAATCTCTCTCCTCTCATCTTCCCCCTTTCATTTATTTTGCTCTTGTCTCGTTTCCCATCTCAGGAAATATAATATTCGTGTGGAGGACATTATGGTGCGGGATGTGCGGTACATCACACTCAACTGCTGCTACCGAGACCTGCATAATGTCCTGCTGACGGGCCACCTCAAGACTCTGGCGCTGGTGGAATCAGCTGGTGAGACTCACACACACTCTATGACTGCTGATTTCTAACCTGATTAGATGTAAAGATTGTAATTTTCATATAGAGTGGTAACTCACTGAACCTGCATGTGTGACATGACTACATGCTTAATCCCTGCTCTAAGCTTTGTGTTTGGGAAGCCACACATGACTGCATTGATTCTTCTCCACAGTCATAAACACCATCAGTTTTTTGCGGTTCTTGGCTTCCCGGCTTTTTTTTTTTTTTTTTTTTTTTTCCTTTTTTATATTGATTTTAGTTGCTTAAGGTTTTAACCCCCCTTGAAGGATTTAATTGCGGTTTCGGGCTGTTTCGGCCGGGTTCGGATTCCGCTTGTTCCCGGGTTCTTTTTTTGCCCATTCCTGCCTTTCTTCGGTTTTTTGGGGGGCTTTCTGGCCGGGGTCTTTCTTTCTTTCTTTCTTTCTTTCTTTCTTTCTTTCTTTCCTTTTTTTTTTGTTCCCCCTTGGTTGCCCTTGGCGGTGGCTTCGGTTTTTTTCTTACCTTTTTCTTCCCCAACCTCCTCCTTGTTCTAGACACGGTATACGTGCATGGATGTTCATACTGTTCTGCAGGATGTTCAATCACTTGACTCCACCGGGGATCCAGTGATCTAAGAGAGTGTCTGTGTGATGCTGCTCAGATTGTCC